TTTGAGTGATACTTGAGCACTCAGCTTTATCCAACATGTTTCATTCACTTTAGTAGAACATCCAAACTCTGATGAATGCACTGGGAGCAACTCCCGGCTCTGGAGCGACTAGGGATTGAACCCCCAACGTTCAGGCTCTCCGTCCTAAGCCTGATACTTCCTGATCCTGAGCCACAGCTGCCGTATTCAGGAATATTTAAACCTTAAATATTTAAATCAGCTTAACTGTTTTTGCTCTGTTTCTTTTCTGTCTTACCCTCTGCACTGGGCTTGACCAGGACACTGGCAGTGCATCTCTATGATACCAGCAGGATCTTACACAATAGCAGCATTTAACACCCTGGGATAACAAGTGGCTTCACAATAGTCTGAGCAGCACATGTATTGGAGAAGCATCGCAGCAGAACAGACTGTGGTGTAAAGTTGAGCTTCCTGTTTTGGACTGCTAACTGTCATTGAAAAGGAAAAATGGTTAACTCTGTTAACTTTGCATTATATTTCACTAACATACTTAAATAAATATAAAAATATAAAAGGATAACTGGAAAGTATAAAAAATGGCAACATATTCAGACACTGTGATATTATGTTATCACATCTAAATAGTCTGTGTTGGTTTCAAAGAACAAAAATGAGTCAGTGATACAAAAAGTATTGACATCATTATACACCTCAGGCTTTAGTATAACAAATGCCAATCATGTGACCAAGATGGTGTGAGCTCGACAGACATGTTGAGACAAGAGCAGTTTGTAATACTCACCTTTCGATCTGCGACAGGAACTTTGTCTCAAAGATGCCTCGCGTCTTCAGTCGCTCTGACACTTTGCCCCTGAACAGCAGGCCCTTAGCGGTAAAATCCAGTAACACGTTCCGCACAATCTCCCCCAGGTACATCCCACTGATCATCTTTTCATACCTTCGAGAAAACACACAAACTTCAAACTTTCCAGATCCATGCACACAGACAACACAGTAGCCACAGTATTTACATTCTCACCATTTACAATTTCAGTCCCAAATGTTACTAAAAAGCAATTTAGTGAGCAAGCAGCAATTTATTTTGAGAAAGAGGAGACAGAAACGTTAATTAAGAGAAGTCAGATAAGTTATTTGTTCCATTAACAAAAACTAATGTCATTACTAAAGCAGATTTTAATGGAATAGTTACCAGAATGTGTAACAGGGACTGAAATGAATTCTGTCTAATGTTATATGCTCGGCATGTACAGGACACACACTGCATGAACTCCCTGATGTGACACTGAGACTGCTTTTTACAGATATTCCAAAAGGCTTCTTTAAAAGAAGAAAAATAACTTAATAAAGCACTTCTTCTTTTGAAATAATCAATGTATAGTATGCCTGTATAGGTATAGCTCTGCTGTCTTACTCACAGCTACAGCTTAATGTTCTCTCATGAATAAGTCAAGAGGAAACCAATGATCTTGCCCGACTTGTCTTTAAAACAACAATGTGTCTTTCATTTCATTTCATCTCCCGGTCAAAGGTGTGACCGTCCTCTTCGGTGGCTTGGTATTTTGTTTTTCTCAGAACAAAGACCACAAAGTGCTTTAAGCCAACAAATTAAATGCTTTGTCTGGATGTGTTCAGATAAACAGAATAAACAAGAGAAAAATGTGATGTGGTGGCCGGCCTGAGCTCCTGTGGACTTGAATACAGAATATATAGATTTCAGGAAAAAGGCTGAAATTGGATGGTTCTGGGACAGCTTTGAACCCTTTATCTCATTCTCACAGGCAGATGCTCTCAAAGTCAATCAGATTGGATCGACAACTCTCCACAGAGGTCTGGGCTTTTTCTGGAACACTCAAATACAGTCAAGACTCATTTTCAAACATATTCAGACTCACTTGCTCTGGGCTTTTTGAACCTGCCTGTATATATTCTAATTCCACTACAAGCTAAACTAAAGTGCAGCTTTTGCTTTATTGTTGAAATAAAGAAACAATCAATCAACACCATGACCGCTCAGATCTCCAAAGAACTGCAGTAAAGTGATCATAATCACACAAACTCATTTTCACAGATAGTACTGAAACTGAAAAGCAAAGGGAAAACTTTGCTTTTCAGTTTTTTCCATCTTAAGATACATGCAAGTGTGTATGTGTGACTAGTTACTCTGGTAAAATGCCCACCAATCATCTTATATCTATATTAATTAAATAATATATAATGTTATATTGCTTAAATAGTTGCATGCTGATGAGTTTGCATGTGTAGCACATGCACAACATAGAAAACAAAAATACTTTTGCAGTTTTGTGTTGTTTTGTATGCTCTGTGTATTCAGTTCATTGGTATTGTTTTTTGTTATTGTTAGTATGTTCTTGATGGAGTCTGCTGTTTTTGTTTTGGTAATTAGAAACTGTTAAAAACATGTTGCTAACAGTCTGTATTTAAGCACCAAGTTAAACTATCCAAAGATTGCACATTTACAGAGATGCTCATCAAATGACCCCAGATTACTTTAGCTCTTCTTCTGTTTGATGTTTTTAATATTTGATCTGATGAAGCTGATGAATTTCCATCCATCCATCCATTCGCTTCCGCTTATCCTTTCCAGGGTCGCGGGGGGTGCTGGAGCCTATCCCAGCTGTCATAGGGCGAGAGGCGGGGTACA